GTGGACAGCTACGATTTAGAATACTAATTACTGTTACTACGTTGTTGTATATTAACGAGTGATGGTATTGATACCACCTACCCTAGCACGTTTTCCATTAATCAATGCTTTATAGTTTATAGTGGCTTCGGTTGGAGTTAAAAAACTGCACAGAATCGGCAGAAGGGCAAAGATGTTAAGGGCGGCAGACTCCCTGTACGAGGGCGACCATTCTTTGGTAGACACTGCTGTTCTTTGCCAATGATCAACTACGATGTGAAACTCCTCACGTGAGGCAATTCACAGATTTTCGAATTCGAAGAACAGAATTTCGACAAGCTTTGAAAAGTACGCGCGAACGATAATGAAATCAACGAATTGTTAGTAAGGAATTTCGGGAAAAAGGATCGCCTCTCGCGCGCGAAGTTTCGCGGTTTTCCATTTTCCTCCTGAGCTGCTGCTCGAGAAACACTCTTCCACTTGATGAGATGATGTCAGTGGTGAACACTCTAACTCCGGGAAAGACCTCGGCAGCATGTACACATTAATCGATGAACACTCGGAAACCTTAGCACTCTAACCGGTTCTAGGTTTGGAAACTACCCCCGCTTTGATGGGCATGAATAATCTCGCTTCTTTTTTTCAGAGAGGAATCAGCTTACCACATTTTCTTAGATTTCTTAATTTCAGGCGCATTGTGTTGATTCCCAATGTACCTGTCACTCGTCATAGCTTTGGCTCTCCCGTGTGCCTCGAGACAGTGGAAAAAGCTCAGAACAGCCGAGATGGGTACGACATTAACCGATGATGTTGGACTGATGAAGTAGTTGTGGTTTGCAGATCCTTACGGTAAACCCAGTGGCAAGTGTTCTCTCACCATAGAAGGGGTTGAAGGATGCACCTGCCCGAATGGAGTTGCCCCGTTCTTCTCAACAGTGAGTGACACGCTGGTTTTCCTACTACCAGGCTGAGAAATCACTTTTTTTCAGAAGGAGATTTCCGATGGTCACTATATTTTAACATCTACGATTTGCACTACTGAGTGCCTTTTCGACGACGAATGTCCCTCACCTGTCGGTGGGGTTCGAGTAGAACCTTTCTGTGCATCCAACGGTCGGTGTTTACTCTCGTGTGCTAAGGTGAGGTTGTAGTATTCAACAACAATCACTTCATATGTTCTTTAGGCGTTCTCATATTGCCCATCTAGAAGTAGATGTGGGGATGTGAATCTTCCTTGGAGCGAAGAAAAAATCTCCAACGTGTGTCGATTTGTGTTGTAGAGCTGTGTAGCGATGAAAACGCCAACATGGCGTCTTGATATCGTTCATGTCACTTTAAAGATGTTGTTAAGTGTGACGAGACTACCCTTGAGTTCCCCTAGTATTCATGAGTGTTAGATGCTGTTGCATTATTGACGCGAGAACTGCATGTATCGTAGGAAGATATAAGTATGCAACAGCTATGGCAATGGGAACTACATAGCTTAGCTAATGGCTGAGGGAGACAGTTCTGTGTCACCGACCCTCCGTAGCACACAATATGTCTCTCTAGGTTGGAGGATTCCCTCAGCTAAGCTTATGATGAGGATAGTCCTCGACGGCTAAGTATAAAGAGGCCTTGTAAGGCATTATCCTGCAATTATATGCAGTGTAGTGTTATCTCAACGGGCAAATCACTAACAGAAGTGTCATCAATGAGTTCGCTCGTGCGGTCACTAGAGCGTCCAATTTGAAGAGTATTTAGGTACTAGTATGATACCGATGGTAGTGTTACCCTAGAGCAGATTCCGGAGTAGCCTTTCACATTGCTTGAAGGAATCTTAAAATCTTCGCTGTGCGCAGCAAACCCTGATCAAATAACTTCTATGCTGTTAACAATATCAAACGATATTGAAGAGGTGAACCGGAGGACGCTACCCTCAGTGACAGAGCCAACATCCTCCTGGCAACTTCTCCTCCAACAGTGGCAACTGACAGCGGAGGGAAGCTGAGCGAGTTGGCAGTGGGATTCACCACCCCACGGATGGTCGCTAGCTACCTACAATCCGACCACATCTCAGTTGACTGTACCTTTAATATTCTGGCAGCAGAGTGCGTGATGTTTACAATGGCTTGTATCACCCCAAATGGGTCAGCCTTACCTGTACTGGTAGGCTTAGTCAGAAGTGAGAATGCTGTGAGCATTGGGCATGTCCTCGAGCAGTTCCACAATTTGGTTAGAGAAGCTGGATTCTCTGAGCTACCAACAATCAGACGAGTAACTCAGGATGGCTCACCCGCACTTCATGCAGCGATTCAATCCTTCTACCCTTCGGCAACGATAACTTCATGCTTCTTCCACTTCATGCAGATGGCCAAGAAGAAGAAACCTACTACTATGGAGGCAGCAGTTTGGAATGAAGTGAAAGCCGACTTACGCACAGTCGGCTTAGCTAGCAGTGCTGCAGAACATAAAGTTCTCCTTCAACTGCTGTCATCCAAGTGGGAAGCGCGGCCAGAGCATGGGGTTACTGATCTCCTCAAAAAACTTGAGGAAGGAGGATGGTTGAACCTTGACAATTTCCGCTGTCGATGGACTTCACATCACACTGGGGGTACTGGTGGACGCACCTCAAATGCTCTTGAGTGCTTCCACAAGTTTTTGAAGGAGAAGTTGTTGAAGAATCATCGTATGCAGACTCTGTTCCAGTTCTCTCACACCTTAACCGGCCCGGGATGGAGGGCTGTGTCCAACTACAACAAGGACAAGTCGCTACGCCGATATGTGACGAAGGAGGACAGGTTGGAGGCAGCTGGGATCGACTCCTGCTCCCCATTGCCGAGGTCACTGTCGACAAGAGTGACTACCACTTGTCGTAGGCCGGGTTGTAACATGCGTCCTTGCTCCAGATCTTCCCATTATCGCGAGGAGAAGGTCCATACGTATATATTCACCGAGGAAGCATCTGAAAGTAACGAGGAGGCCGAATCCGATCTCACAGCAAGGATCACACTCAACTACTCAAGTTTCGATCAAGCCCGT